CCTCATCAACACCTGAACCACAGAGGTTTCAGCTGCCCTCAACACCACCTGAGACAGCCGACTCCCCATCCCAAGACACATATTCTGTACCATGGCACAAATTTCCCTCAAAAGTCATGGATGAGTTGCGTGAAAAAAAGTACATAATGGGGAAAGACAGACGAGAGATGGTTCGGATCGTCGCTGAAGATTACCTCCATAAACACCCAGGAAGACCTGGTAGACAAAAGCTGAGGGAACTCGCCAGTATGATTGTAGGACAATATCCTGCCTCCTTCAAGCTGACAGAGCCGTTTGGAAACAAACCTTTTGCAAAAGATGGTTCTGAAACTCTCTTTCGTCAGCTGGAACACAGAATTGAAAATATGAAGAGGCCACAAAGCTCACTGAAGAGGCAAGCAGGGGGTGAAAATTCAACAAAGAAAAGGCCCAGGAATTCAGATCTGTATGGATGTGTGGCGTGGGATCCAATCATTGAGGGGGCCGTGTGTAGAGAAGACCTGCTGTCTAAACGAGATGAGTTGAAACGTGCCTTTCAAACCCAGGATCTTCAGGTGGGTCTGCAATCATCCATTACAGATACAGAAAGCTTTATTAATCCTCGAAGGGCAATTCGGTTCCTACAGTCCACCATCTAGACATACAACCATTCACACAGCAATAGTATATAGCAGGAGTAATGCGATAAGGTCTGGGTCCAAGTACAATTTAGGACACATTGTGAAATTGTAGATCGTCTGTAGATCACTATGCCCATAGTCAATTGAAATTGATACCCTGTTTTATTATTTTAATTGGTTAGTTTGACTAACTGTTCGACTGTTTGTCTAACTGCCTCATATCTTTAGGAGTCATCTGTTCGAAAATTGATGACTGAAACATATCCCATTCAGCGTGAAATCCTCAACGATGATGATACCACTATTGCCGTTGTAAAGGACGAGTGGCCGTTCCTGTTTGAAGTTCCTCACCTGTTTGATCATGCATCTAAACTCCTTGGCTTCTCTGTACAAAACAAGCTGGCACAGGTGTGTTGTTATTGTTATTATTATGATTGTGCTGTGCTGCTCCATATGGAGAGAATTTTGTCTTTATTAATCAATCAAAAAAAGATTTGCAACCAAAAAGAGAGTTGAGACCAAAAAAGATAAACTGGCAACCAATCAAATAGAATAACTTGGATGAACAATCAAATGGAATAGATTTGAGACCAAAAATCAGGAAGTGACAACCAAAAAAGCAGGACATTTGAGATCAAAACAGAACAGGTTGCAAATGAAAATGAAATAATTCATTTTTATTTTTATTTTTTTCAAAATTCTCTCCATAGCTCCAAACGAAAATGAGTGTTAGTCTTATGTACTTGTACAAAATTAACACCTTGAACCTTGAACAGGAACTTTCCAAAAAAGAAAAGGGGATCAATGACTTCCTTGACTCCAAAGGGATGAAGACGGGCGAAGGTCCAATACAGCTCATCTGTGGCATTTCAAAATACTTCAAGGAAGACTCTTATAAACTCTTCCACAAAAAAGAGGTAGATGTTGTAGATTTTAAACTGTGTGCAAGATAATTATTTGCATCCAGTGGTGAACCAAGTAACCAACCACAGTAGGAAGTATAGATTCCCCTAATTGTGCTGCTGATATTCTCTATAAACTCTCTATCTATAAACTATTTACATTAATGTTTGTGCATAATGGCTACCTCTGTCATAAGACTAGCGATGTCAATTGCAGAGTTGTGATGAAACTATCTATAGGACAAACAGATTCAGTCAATACTCCGTGCCCAGCCCTTCGAGGTTGTAGTAATTTTGTTCCAGCGTTTACTGTGTTATAAGTGGTTTCTTTATTAGAAGTTGCTTGCATAGATTTTTTTTGTAAGTCATGGTTTATCTGTGTAGTCCAGCTCAAGTTATGGTTATGCATGCACTCAGTGCCTGCTAGTCTCCCTGTTTATGTGACGTCCAATCCAGAAGGCTACTCTCGAATTCACATAGACTCTTGAACTTGTAAGTGACGCCGTTCTCACCTGACTCTTTTGTACTCACTACCTTGCTGTACAATCATGTCGCCATCGGAGCTTTGATAGTTATGTATGATCCCAATGATGTTGAGTTTTGTACCCGTTAACTTGGGAAATCCTTTAGGCAGAAATGCGCTAATAGTGTCTAGACAATCAAAATACATGATTCTGTTGGGAATGGAGCAAATATCTCGAATGTTGTGACAAATGTTGGTATCTTTCTTGCACTAGAGTATGTCATGTGTAACCTTTTCATAGAACAACTAATGGTGCAGCACCAAATATGTTTTCAGACCCCCCCCCGAGTAAAATATAAAATCTAGGGATTTGCCAATGTTAATACTATATTTAGTGCGAATTCTTTCTCTCCTTTTGATAACGAAGTCGTTTAAATGGTGACATTGATAGACAAGTCAATGTGTTTTTATCCTTCTTTTCTGTGTTATAAATCTGCTACTTAGAGATGCGTCATGTGTTGGTGATAAGCAGACTTCTCGCCCTTGCAAACATTTCTGTATATGCGCAGTGTGAATGCATGTGTCTTGAAAAGACAAAGGAAGAGATAAGCTTAGCCACTGGCACCAGCACCACAACAACATTGGGTTCTAGACAGATGGTCAACTAGAATGATAGAGAGGTTCACACATAGGGGCATATTGAAGAAAACAAATGTAGGATTTTATTGAACTGCTCCACTCCTGTCAAGCCACACTACACGTGCAAACTTTGTCTGCATATCACTATTGTTTTGTTTTTTTTTCCTCAGAGTTTTCTTTGGGGTCAATCCTGAGCGAGGCTCCAAGGCAGAGAAGAAGGGGAAGAAACGGCACTTCATTCCTCCACAGGTGTGCAAGCTGGTTTCTCAGCTGAAGGAATTTGAATGCAAGCAGAAGGAATCTGAATGGGCCATTTGAGCTGTTCTCAGAGCTCAGAAAATACCTTTTTGGACTGAATGTACACAACAACCCACAACACACACACACACACACACACACAAAGGCAAATCCAAAAACATGGGGCTTGGGAGTAGAAATACAGATTTTTACAGTATTAGGTGAGTTCAGATGTTTTAACTAGATGCCCACAACACACATGCTGCAGTTTCAAATCCCCCATGTTAAGGGGGAGGGAAGGTGGGCGATATTTGTCATTCCAGTTAAGCTTTTCCTGTCATTGTGGAGTTGGAGGTGTAAGTTTTAATTTTTTTTTAGTTTTAAGTTGTTTTAAGAGTTTTAAAAATCTCTTTATGGCATGTTGCACAGTCATCCTTCTAAGGTCATGGTTGTTATTGCTGCACTGATGTTTTATAGAAAAGTTGTATAATGTAATACTTCTAATGTTCTATTTGTTTTTTGTAGAAAGGTCAGCCACTGGTTGCAGAGCTCTGCCTGTCGGTGTGATATGTGGAGTTGGAGGTGTAGGTTTCTGCATCCTCCTGGAGGGGGCTCCTCATTTTGCACTAACAGGTGAGACAGCAACAGCAATGCTGGCAGTTTTATTGTCTTATTTTGTCATTGTCTTTAACAAATCAATTTGTTATTAATGCCTGTCAGCCTGTGGATGCTAAAAAGTTGCTAGATTTGGCATCTCCCTGTTAAAGGACATGGCTGTACTTCTTTGAGAGAACAGCTGGTTTATGTATGTAAAATTTCTCTGAATGTGAAGGTGATGTTCTGAATGTTTTAATGGTTGTAATGTAAATATTGCAAATCATTCACCACAAAAAGTGAAATCACTTTAAAGCACTGGCAGCTGTTAAAGGAAATAAATAATTGCTGTGATTCTACATTTGTGCTTTATTGATGGTAAACGGTATAGAGAATGGTACAGAATTAAACATTTTAGGATGACTGAAGTGTCCGTAAATGGTATGGATTGAGTACTTAAATAATACGGAATATTCCATTTTAGGTTTGATGGAACTGTCCGTAAATGGTAAAGAAAAAGTCAGGTAAATCTACGGAAATATCTGTGCAATAACGCCGAAATTTATGGAAAATACGGAATTTTCCATTTTAGGTTTGATGGAAATGTCCGTCAATGGTACAGAAAAACTCGGGTAAATCTACAGAAATATCCGTTTTAAGGTTTACGGAAGTGCCCGTACAATAACGGAAAAAGTGCTGGTAATTAATTACCAGCACTTTTTCCGTTTTATAACGGAATTTTTTTTAACAGTGTAGCAGTTGGGTCTTAATATCAATGCGCAGATCCCCTGTGAGTCAATGCAGCTCCTCTTCATCATAGACATACACCTGTTGGTCTTTAAATGTCATTTGAACAAGCTTTTCACACAGACGTGGAATGTGCTGCACCACACCAACGACTTGCATGGTTACAGTTTTTAGAAGGCAGAAAGCAGGATAATTTCTTCAGTGATGTTCTCAACATCCACAACATAGCACCAGCTGGCAGGTTCATTTTACTTCAAGAGTATCTGATATCTCTACTTTTGTAACATTCACTCACTTCCTGCAGAACACGTAATGGTCCTTGGGATGCATGATACGACAGTCACTCTTCAGCAGGTTATTCTATGCACTGTATGTGCAAAGAAATATGGCCAAGAGGGTAGCTGACATTACTCATTTAGTCCAGTCTTATTGACGTTACTTTACTTTACTGATTACTAATTTTCAAAAGTAATTAATTACTTAGTTACTTTTTAAAAACACGATTTACAACCTGAATAGGTGATAAAGCGATAGATCTTTCAGCCCAATTCTACTTTTTCTGCATAATCCATCATACAAAATGTAATCAAATGGAAAAGTCTCTTTTTAAAACTTGTTTTATTAGTTTTAATCTTTTAACTTTATGCATCAAGCAAAAATTTAATTATATGCAACATTCTCTGACTGGAAGAAATTTGTTTAACATTTAAACCTATTTTCTGCACATTCCAGCACATAAAATAAAATATTTTTTGTGTTTACACTCACTCTTTCAAATAGATGCAAGTAAAACACAGCAGAAAATAAATAAAATCAAAGACTCAGCGGTCCTGTGCTCTATTTTCACCTGTAAAGCAGGAGTAGGGTAGGCGGAGGTTTACCTTGGTGTGCCACGGCGGTCAGGGGAAGAATCGTACGGTTACGTTGTAACCTTGGTTCTCTTAGTGAGAGACTATCTCTCCATACCGTTACATATTCCATATGTGGGGTACGACCCCCCTTGGTCGTGGCGTGTGGATATTTCTTTAAGACACTCCGGCACGCCCGGCTACGCCCCACAGCATACGTATAAAACAGCTGTGCAGACGTGACACCGGTGATCGTTTGATCGGAACGCGTCTCCGAGTGGCCTCACGGTGGAGAGATAGTCTCTCACTAAGAGAACCAAGGTTACAACGTAACCGTACGTTCTCTAGCATATCGAGACTATCTCTCCACACCGTTACATATTCCATATGTACGGGGTAACTCTGTAAGACACCCCGCGAGGAGACAGTGCAACCGAACCGCCGAGAGTGAAGACCAAAGCCCATTCTCTTTTTTTTTTTTTTTTTTTTTTTAAATGACATCAGAAACAGCAGTATGCGACATTACGTGATGGCAGAGCTTCAGTTCATCCTTTGTCATTTTTTTCAGTTGCTACAAACGGGACAGACAGACAGGGGAATGAATGAGAGAAAGAGGGGGAGAAAGAAAGAAAACCAAAGGGGAGAAGAGACGGTGAGAAGGGGGGGAAGAGAGAAAAAAAAAAAAAAACAAAAAAAAAAAAACTCCTGGGTCACCTGTATGGAGAAAAAAAAACAAACAAAAAACAAACAGAGGAGACAGCAAACAACAAAGAGCAACATAATAATAGAGAAAACAAAGCACCATCACAATAAACTAGCTAGTCATAGATATCAATAGTTACTAAATAATAGACGATATTGTTCAGCACGCAAGATAGACAGCGCACAGTGTGCTTTGAGGCAGCAGCCAAGAAAGCTTTAGTCCGCGTCTGTGAATACCCATGTGTACACCTGTGTGCATACCTGTGTGGATCAGCATGCTTGCATTCCAAAGGTTTCTCCATGTAATGATCTGCTAGGGAGTGTGGGGGGGCCACAGCCCCGTCCTCCAGGGTGTGAAGCGGGTATGGAGGAGATCAAAACTCCAGACATCCAGAGGCCCCCAGAACACAAGAGACCAAGGAAGACCAACAGAGGGGCAGCCGCGCCACTGTTCCAGTAAGAGCTGAGGAGAGTCCCAGATGAGGGCTCGCCCAGCAGCCGCGGAGCAGAAGCCAGGGGGAGTTGCAGTGACGACAAGTGGGACGAGAGGGACAAGGAGAAAGAGAGAGAGGTGAGAGCGGGACGTGGTGCGAGTGTGCAGGGAGAGATAGTGTTCCGTGAAGAAGAGTAAAAGGAAGGCCGGTTCTTGGGAGGGGAGAGAGGACGAATAACGAAAAGGAGTGGGTCACAGGAAGGATGGGAATCATGAAGAGGGCCTCAGCTACGCTAGTGACTAAGTTCAACTTACGACTAGCGCTGGACATCCAGCTGTTTGTCAATCCAGCGACATTTTTATTCATCTCTGGTTTGAAAAGGCCAGGCCGGGTGAACTGCGGTGGAGTTTGTGAATCTATGGATGACATGACAAACATCTCCATAAATTAAACACATCACAATTGTTGCAAATCAATTAATACATTGGTCCTCAATGTCCAGTTTGGGTCAACCAGGAAT